GCAGTAGCAGTAGCCCTCGTCGTCACAATGGCAGCACCAGCTTATTTACTGGCCAGCCGTAGCAGCAGTGCCAGCTACATAGTCATACTAGTACTACTAGCACCATTACTAGTGCTACTGTAGTTACATGTGCAGCATCAGGGAAGCAGTAGTAGGTAATGGGAAGTACTATGGGTGACTAGCTGCACAGTTTACATTCCCTAGCTCTCTTAGCATTTCTTGGCCTCAGCTTTTGTAGGAGAGCCACCTCGGTCATTCCCTGGGCAAAGCCCCACCTTACTTAACACACACATACATATATATATATATATATACGTGGTACACTTTTTCTGCAACTATATATTGAATGCATCCTGCACCTCGGGCCATGGTGGGTGCTGGTCAGCCCTTTGCAGACTGTTGAGGTTGGTGAGTTGTGGCGATGGTGACAGAGGGCTGCTGCATTGCCGTGGAGGATGATGCGATGGAGCTGGCAGAAGCAGCACCTGTTCTCACGCCCGTGGATGGCCCCATACTGGTGCCCCAGGACGGCGTTTCGCGCGTGGATTTCGACATGGCCATCAGGCGTTTAGAGTTACGGATGGAGCAACTCGAACGGCAGCTCCGAGCCGAGCAGGGCAACCTGAAAGTCCCCGAGCCGGCTGTGCTCACCCCCATTTTGGAGGAGAATGGGGCTGAGCTTCCCAGCCCAAAGAATCACTTTTCTGCTGCCACGGAGGAGGATGCAGACTTTACACATGACAGCATTCAGTTCGGTGAGAGCATTTGGAGCCTTCCGCTGGTTTTGGACTTCAGCCATTTCCCGCTGTGGGATGGCATTTTCTCGATGCTGCTGCTCATAGTGAACTTGGGGATGCAGGCCATGTTCTCTGGCATTCTCCTATCCGACGACTTTGCTGGTGCTGGAGTGCAAGTGGAAGAGGAGAGAGAGAATGCCAGACGATGGCGAATTGGCATTGCGCATGATTGGAGGTACATGGACCTTTCTGAGACAAGTTTAGTAACGCGTGTTTGCCAGAGCGATGGCGCGTTGATTTTATCGACGCCGCAGGCAGAGCTCGTGGACCAGATTAACAGCTTTCTAGGCCTCGGTGCAGAGGACTTTGTGCCGGGCTTCTTTCAGCCAGGGATTCTCCTTTGTTTACTTTGCATCCTCCATTGGAGTCTGTGCGTCTACAAGGAGTTTCGAAGCGTTTGGCTTGCCTTTGAAGCTGTGCTTGCCATTCCAAGAGCTTCCCGGAGCATAACCAGCCAGAACAGGATCACCAGCTTATCCAGGTCTCGCCTTCTTGTGGTCCTGACATCCTTCGTGCTGCGCATGGCCATTGCAAGTATCATGCTGGTAGCTGGGATCCAGTGGCTGGGTCGAACGACTTCCATCACAGAGCTCATGCTGAATGCGGTCGCCTTGAATGGAATTATGGACATCGATGAATTGCTTTTTGCAGGTTTCACCCCCGTGTCAGTTCAACAAGCCATCAGAAAGCTGGAGCCCGTAAAAATGAAGTACAGCAGATATCGGAGTCAATTTGAGTCCTTTGCGCTCTTCCTCCTTTTGCTTGTCACAATGCTCGTTCCATACCTCATCTATTTGGAACCTCTTGGGTCTGGTATGGTCAGCATCAAGTGGGAAATGTGTGGGAAGAACCAGACCTTCGTGGTGGCCAACAATCCAGCAAACCAACAGGTTATTGGTTACAGGACTAAGGCCACCCGGGACGATCAAGAGCCTTCTCTGGTTGAAATTGCGGTGGAACAGCACAAGTTCCAGGAAAGCGGGCCGCCCAAGTACATTTTCTTTGCCTCCTCGATGAAGATGTTTAGTGCCGACATTGATGAGGACATGAATGCCGCTGCTGCCCGGACTCCTTTTTGTGTTGAGACAGATGCCCTTTGGCCTGGGACTCCATTTCATGAGGACCCAGTCGTTACTTCCATCCTCCATGCGCGCTTGAGATCAGCACTGGTCTCTTTGGGCCAGCCGCCCAGCATAACTTGCGATGGCGTCGCTCACCTTTGCAATATGCCCGATGCTCGCCTCCTGCGATTGATGTGTGGTTACACCTGCGGCTGTACTGACCCATACTCGTCCTCGCCGTGGCACAGGGTGCAGGCGGCGGGTTGTTCCGTTGCCTGCACTGCGCGGGCATTGACGATCTTGGCGACACAGCCGTGTGAGGATCAACCGGCCGGAGATGCTTGGGAGGCGTTTTGGGATGGCTATGCCCCAGCTCTATCAGATCACTATGGGCTGAACGTGAGTCAGGCGGATATTTGGCCCGCAGCTTCCAGCATTGCCAATCAGCTTCGTGTCAGGGGATGCCCAGGCTTGACAAATCCCGAGTTGCAGCTTGAACTTATCACACAAACACCCTGGTGCCAGGGTCATGAACGCTTATTTCGCCCGCTCGCTTGGATTTGTCCCAGATCTTGCGGGTGTTTTGGGACTGCCTTGGGCCATTGCCCAGCCAGTTGTGTTGCAAATGCCAGCACGGACTGACTGGAAAACCGGTGCGGCGAAGCCGTTCAGGTTCGAAGATGCATGGCGCCCATGGGAAAACCAGGAAGCATGGTTCTGTGCCAGATCTTTCGTGTCCTTGGGGAGATTTTGTGATGTTTTTGCAAGGTCCCATGTGCTAAAGCGCATTTGCCGTTAGTCTTGGCCCAGTCCAAAACCTTCTCTCGGGCAGGCGGGGCAGACAACAAGACCATTGTCTACCACAACCCCTTTAACAATGGCAGCAGCCTCATCCGCTGACTTGCTGCTTCGAGTCATGAGAGTCTCATGAGAGGATGGGAGAGGTGTGAGGGTTGAGGCAAGATGAGAAATGAGGTCTGCAAGGCCGCAAGACGGCGTGAACCCTAAACCCTAAACCCTAAACCCTAAACCCTAAACCCTAAACCCTAAACCCTAAACCCTAAACCCTAAACCCTAAACCCTAAACCCTAAACCCTAAACCTAAACCCTAAACCCTAAACCCTAAACCCTAAACCCTAAACCCTAAACCCTAAACCCTAAACCCTAGACCCTAGACCCCCTAGACCCTAGACCCTAGACCCTAGACCCTAGACCCTAGACCCTAGACCCTAGACCCTAGACCCTAGACCCTAGACCCTAGACCCTAGACCCTAGACCGTAAACCCTAAACCCTAACCCTAAACCCTAAACCCTGAAACCCCAAGCTTGAGTTTGGGGGAAGCCCAGGAAGCACTAGGATGGTCAGCACAGCTGAGCTCGCATCAGTGCAGCACAGCCCGCATCTGAAGCCATTATAGCAGTCACTAGCGAGTATTGGTTTAGGGTTTAGGGTTTAGGGTTTAGGGTATTTCATGTCGCACTGTAAGTCGTCCCCCAAAGGAAGGATAATAATTGAGCCACAGTCACTAGCGAGTATTGGTTTAGGGTTTAGGGTTTAGGGTTTAGGGTTTAGGGTTTAGGGTTTAGGGTTTAGGGTATTTCATGTCGCACTGTAAGTCGTCCCCCAAAGGAAGGAGTATAATTGAGCCACACCACTGTGGTTCGCTCCTTGAATTCAAACTGACCGATGATGAAATTCATACAAGCTCTAATTTCAAGATGATGTTATAGAGAGATAGGAAAGACAGAGTTTAAAACGGACGCAGAAAGCATGTTGAAATGCAACGGTCCTACCTAAAAACTACATGAACTGACTCTTCAGGCATAATGCCGAATGGATCCGCATGGCTTAGTTTAATCATGCTCGTCTTTTGTGTCGCTTGATGGAAGCGAACAATTCCTGCAGGCCTTGATGGTCAAGCGGGACCAGTTCTTCCAAAACCCCTGAATTAAGGAATAGACCCCTAATTTGTACTAAGGGATCATTGTTACGAAGTATAGGGTACATTCCTCAAATCAGGGGTTTTGGAATATCTGGGCCCCTTTGACAGCCACCGCCGGGCCAACTCCCAGGTAATCCGGCGCAGCGATCTGCCAGCGTCGAGGACTTCCTTGTGAAGTCTGGCATTTGCAGGGTAGCTCGCCACAATCTCCAAGAGGATGTCGAGTTAGGGTTTAGGGTTTAGGGTTTAGGGTTTAGTGTTTAGGGTTTATAGGGTTTAGGGGTGGATAGGGCAACGGATATGGACAATCTCGACATGACTGCAACCTGTTTTTAATTACTTGAGTCCCATAGAATGTACGCAATAGCCGAACCCGGTGTAGAGAACTGACCATGCGGATTTTGCTTTCAAGCTGCTGTGATGCGAGTCAGCATCCATGTGAGAGCTGATGTTGTGTCGACTGCGCAAGCGTGGATCAGACGAAACAGTTTCAATCATCGCCTTTGAACTCAGGTCTTCAGTGGGCACCAGCCGCATGGAGAGAGCCCTACAGTCGTCAGGCATGTGCGATCCGGCCTGTTGGTCGTCACAGCGGACACATCGCGCCTGGGATGCTGATGCAGCGGTTTTGCTTGCGCATAGTTGTAACTATCATCTCATATACAATCAGATCAGTGTCATATCGTAGGCCCACCAGAGCTTGCATTCTGTGGGGCATCGAAGCCTGGGAGTTTTCGAGGAGCACCGCTTGGCCTGGGCTGATTGCATTCTGCGAACGTATAGGTCTGGCTGCTTTTAACATCTAGACATCTGAGTGAGTTTTTGGAGAGGTAGCAGACTGACTGGACCGAGGTACTCCAACATGGGCGTCCGAGCCTCAGTGACATAGACTTGTATTGGTAGGGCCTTGCTACAGCCACTTGTGCGCAAGGCTTTAGGAAAGAAGCTTGTTGCCCGTGGCCGATTGGTGCCGTAAGCCCCCGACTGATCACACACACACACACACCACAATGTCCGCGAACACACAAAGCCAGAACACACACACACGCACACGCGCGCACACACACACACACACACGCACGCCCGCACACGCACGCACGCACACGCACGCACGCACGCACACGCACGCACGCACACGCACGCACGCACGCACGCACGCACGCACGCACGCACGCACGCACGCAGCTTTTGCATCCATTGGGAGCGTGCCTCTGCATGTTTATCGTGCCTCGACTACGACCACCCAATCTTCAAAGCTATCCCCCTAGTTGTGAAAGTTCACTTGCCACATAAAGAATGCTTCAAAATAATGCCTTCAACTTCGAATGACACCAGCTGCGGCGGCTGCCCCCGAGCTTCACACCTTCTAGCGGCTTGCATTGAAGTCACGGCTTCGCCTTAACATAGGTCGTATGTTCACCTTAACTCCGAGCACACGTACCTCCAAGTAGGCCCTATTGGTACGGATGTTCCTCCTTAATTATACTTAACAGTCCTTAATGGGGAGCAAAAAATGGGGGGAAATATAATCCCTAGTCAGGAGCGTTAGTACAAGGAGGAACATCCCAACCCATTGGCTGCTTGCTGAGGCCCTCAAGCTCTTCAACCAGGCGAACAACCGAGGTGAAGTGGTCACCAGCGTGCCACGCAGCTGCTTCAGACTAATTTGGGGTATTTCCCAAAATAGGGGTATCCCTTTTATACCCCAACTAGAATGGAATCCCATTCAAGGGAGCCGTATTTTCGGAAGCCCACATTTTTGTGAATCCCGAAGCACGCGAGTCGTGCTCAGATTTATGGTTTGGCGATGGGATGCTTGTCATTCGGGCCGTTCTCGGATGCATTTCCGGCCTTTGAGGGCCCAACTATTGGATCAGAGTTCCTGGCTTCAGCCACTCAAGAGAAACCTTAAGCCCAAAGCCCAAACCCCAAACCCTAAACCCGAAACCCCAAACCCCAAACCCTAAACCCTAATTAAACCCTAAAACCTAAACCCTGAACCCTAAACTCTAAACCCTAAACCCTAAACCCTAGCATAAACAGATTGCTTGGAGGCGCCTCACGGGAGCCGAAGTGCGCCTGGAGGCCGGACTCTGCTGTGAACGGGGGGGCTTGAGCTTGGTGCATGGTCCGAAAAAGCACCCCTCCTGGTTCTTGGTGAGAATGAGGGAATTAATGAGGAGTCCTATGTATATACATATACATATATATATATATATATCTGTGTATACATATTATATATATATATGTATATATATATACTTACAGAGATATATATATATATATATGTGCTCACGCCCCCCCCCCCCCCAATGATCCACGTTTCTGCTTCGAAACAGATGGATCTTGGGAGGAGAGGGGGCTATGAGCTAGCGACAAAAACACCGACAGGGCCGATAAAAACCTATATCATTTCAAGTCAGGCAGGTCATTTACACCAACAAGGTAGAAAAATACCCGAAAAAATCATGCTTTTTTAGGAAACTCGAGCCGGCTCGAATTTTCCAAAAAAAACTGACACAGTAGGTCGCCAAACACGAACAGGCTCGAATTTTCCAAAAAAAACCTAAATTTCAGGATCTATGGCTCCAGCAGCCCGGTAGATCCTGAAAGTTAGGTTTTTTTTTGAAAATTCGAGCCTGCTCGAGTTTCTGGGACCTAAAGCTTCAAGAATTTTAGGAAAATTCGAGCCGGCTCGAATTTTCCAAAAAAAACTGACACAGTAGATTGCCGAAACACGACCAGGCTCGAATTTTCCAAAAAAAACCTAAATTTCAGGATCTATGGCTCCAGCAGCCCAGTAGATCCTGAAAGTTAGGTTTTTTTTGGAAAATTCGAGCCTGCTCGAGTTTCTGGGACCTAAAGCTTCAAGAATTTTAGGAAAATTCGAGCCGGCTCGAATTTTCCAAAAAAAAACTGACACAGTAGATTGCCGAAACACGACCAGGCTCGAATTTTCCAAAAAAAACCTAAATTTCAGGATCTATGGCTCCAGCAGCCCGGTAGATCCTGAAAGTTAGGTTTTTTTGGAAAATTCGAGCCTGCTCGAGTTTCTGGGACCTAAAGCTTCAAGAATTTTAGGAAAATTCGAGCCGGCTCGAATTTTCCAAAAAAACTGACACAGTAGATTGCCGAAACACGACCAGGCTCGAATTTTCCAAGAAAAAACCTAAATTTCAGGATCTATGGCTCCAGCAGCCCGGTAGATCCTGAAAGTTAGTTTTTTTTTGGAAAATTCGAGCCTGCTCGAGTTTCTGGGACCTAAAGCTTCAAGAATTTTAGGAAAATTCGAGCCGGCTCGAGTTTTCTAAAAAAAATGCTGAAACCATAGCTGTGTGACCCCAAGGCCTCATAGATGACATAATTTAGGTTTTTTTTGGAAAATTCGAGCCTGCTCGAGTTTTCGAGACCTGGAGCTTCAAGAATTTTCGGAAAATTCGAGCCGGCTCGAATTTTCTAAAAATATGCTGAAACCATGGCTGTGTGACCCCAAGGTCTCATAGATGACAGAATGTAGGTTTTTTTTGGAAAATTCGAGCCTGCTCGAGTTGTGGTGACCTGGTGCCTGGAGATTTTTCGGAAAATTCGAGCCGGCTCGAGTTTTCCCGAAATCTCTTGATATTCTGACTGCGGTAATTGATACAATTAGTAGCATTAGTTACCAATTCTATTTCAATTGGTAAGTTTCCCATACTTTTT